TAGGGTATAAAAGTAATTCACCCGCACACACTTGAAGGGTTTTTAAAGTATTGATATGTTTATTCAATACCCAATGTCACATACTGTCATACGGTGCTAACGTTTCGGATCCGCACAGGGATCCTTCATCAGAGCGACAATGACGCTCTGATGAAGGATAAACATATCAATACTTTTAAAAACCCTTCAAGTGTGTGCCGGTGATTTACTTTTATTTACTATATGATGAGTGCTGTCACACTAGGTGGTGGAGTGTCACTCATATACTTCACGCTCTGTTCCTGCCTTCATCCTGAGGTGGAATCTTCCTTCCATTGGTCTGATTTGCTAGAGGCACATGGTTCCACACGTTGATCCTTGATGCCGCCTACAGTGAACTGGTCCCCTCCAGCCATTTGAGCTTCTCCTGCTCTCAAGTCAATTATTTCCCTTGTGGTGCAACTTGTCAGATCACAAACCTAAGAGGAGCAGTCCCGCTGAAATGGGTCTCTCCAGCTCTCAATCTAAGAAGTCTGGGGTGGCCTGCAGTGTTCCTTTTTAAAGCCCATTTCCACCTCTGCAGAGGTATTTTTTTTGTAAACATATGCTAGCAATGTACACTGAGTACACATGAAGCAGACATATGCAGCTGATGTACATGAACACAGAAACATACATTTTTTTGTTAGCTTTCCTCTTCATATCCAAATTAAAGTTTCTGCCTCTGCTGTTCAAGACATATGTGTAAATCCTCCCCCCTCCGGACAGTGGATTGTGTGTAAAGGCAGAGCTAGTGTTTACTGATCATGTTACAATGGGTGACAGGGAGGGGGGCAGCTGGTGTCAGACTGATTTTCCTGCAGAGAACATTTTGGATTTTTAGGATTCAGGCCTAATAAAACCTTCATAAAAAAAATAAAGAAAGCCTGCAATGTGAGTCATGCATATGTGCCCATGTATACATCATCACTGCACCACTTCATTACCACAATAAATGCTAATCACTTAAAAAGGTGGAAATGGATGCCGCTCCTTCTCATCCACTTCCCACTACATTCTACTAGCCTTCTTCTTCCCTCCTTCTCTTATTCTTTCTAATGTCAGTCCCTTCCTTTAATTCCCTATGTCAGCCCCTCCCTCCCCCTCGATTGTCTTGTCCATTGTATGGCTACTAGTTTTATATGGTGCCGCTGTTTGAAGCACTTAGATACCGGATAGATTTTTGACCTTTCGGTAAATACCAGGCGTTTAGCCTGTTCTCCCCACAAACACTAGAGTGCCAAGAATCTTTTATCGATTGAGAGCCCGATACTCATAGAATGGGCCTCCCCCCTCGAAGTTTACATATAGAATCTTCAATACGCTTGTTGCGACTATACAGTTTACTTGGCCTAAACATTAGTAGGTTGATAAGAGTGAAAGCTACAAAGATTATTAAGCTGCACATGACTATATTCTATATTGTCTGTAACAATTCAGGACATTGTAATGCTTGGATAATTGCTGCCATCTGGAACTGCCTTTTTGCTTACATAACTATGTAAACTTGTCAAGTGCTATTAATGGATTTTAATGGAATGGTACTAATTGTTGAGAACTCAGTATAAAATTCCCTTGTATGTTTATAATTTAATAAAAAATTATATGGAAAAAAACAAAAAAGGTGGAAATGGACTTAAGGACATGACATTGATAGCTGGGATTGTTATCCCCTGCTTGAGTCCTTATATTTCTCTGAGGCCTTCATAGCTCTGTCAGGTCTGGCCCCTCCCTTGGGCTTAACCCGGTATGATTTCACTGCAGTCATGCAGGTTTCTATGGGCCAAATCATAATGTGAATTGCTGACTGACCACATATAAGCATACCTTAATGTCTTCCCCGCAGATTCCTTATCTGACCTGCCTGCAGCCTTAGCCTCTGAGCCTGTATCTGACAAAGAGTGAAGAATTGCAAAAATCCTTGCAGTATGATGTTGCAGCTGCCATAACTCCCAGGCTTAGAGAGACCATTTTGTCTCATATTACTATGGTGCATGCCAACTTAGAGCTGTAGCTTCTACTAGTGCTACAGCCAGTCTAGGTCCCTGAAAGAGCCTCGGACTGCCAAGACCTTTCCCATGCACAAAAAATGCTGATAAAATGGTGTTAAGGCCTAAAGCAGGGCGCCCACATTTTTTCGTCTGGAAATCTACTTTTCAAATGGCGAGCCTGCATTCAGGGGCGGGAGGGGGCGTGGCTGCGGTGCCATAGATTTCAATGCACCGCCACGCCCCCTCGGCGTTCTGGTCCAGTGCGATCTGCAAAAATGCTGCAAGCACTATTTTTGGAGATCGCACTGGACTGGAATGCAGGTACCAATGCAATACAACCTCACGCCCCTGAATGCAGGGAGCCGGCCGGCTTGCATTCCAGTGTGTTCTAGAGGCCGAACACTCTGGAACGCAGGCTTTGTAGTGTGAACCGGCCCTCTCTCTTGGCTGTCTCTTCTCTCTCTCTATCCCCTGTTTCTATCTGCTGTTGCTTCTCTCGCTGCTGCCTCTTCTCTCACTTTCTCTGCTCTCTCTCCCCTGTCTGTCTTTTCTTACCTCCACTGCAGCAGCTTCCCAGGTCTCCTCTCGTGCGCTGGTGTCCTGTCCTACCGCGGTGCTTGTGTGGCCGACGTTGCACATGGGGAGAGGTGTCCCGCCTCTTCCCGTCTGCGGCATCTGACACATTAGGCTGGCAGCTGCACGAGCACCGCGGGAGCCGAGCCGTAGCCAGCTCCTTTTGTGCCCAAGACGAGAAAAAAAAAAGCTTCCTCCCCCTAACAGGCGTGTGACATCACCCAGCGCCCCGCCTCCAGGATGTGTTTTCTTATTTTGTATTTAATTTTTAAAAATGTCATTTTTTTCTTTTTTTAATGTCTAAACAGCCCCCTGAAATTTCCCTTTTTAAAACAGAAAAAGAGATTGAGGACACAGAGTCCTCAATCTCTTTTTCTGCAGCCTCTGTTCTAAATGAATGGAAAGTACAGAGGCTTCCCATTCATTCAGAAAATGTTTACTATCAAGCAGTTTCTGGATGGGAAGAAGTTTCTGTATTGAATGCTACTTCCCATTGAGAAACTCATGAATGAACAGGAAATGATGCAAAGCACTTCCTGTTCATTCATAACTATGTCCCCAGTTATTTACAAACACTGGAGTGATCAGTGCATATCACAGAGGATTGGTGCATATCACTGATATGTACCGATCCTCCGCCGCTTCCTTCACTTCCCCTCGGATCCCCGCTGCATACAGATGGAGGAGAGCAGCGGGGATCCAGAGGAGAAGCCCCACAGCCGATCTCGATCTACTAGTGTTCGCTTTGCGATCGACTGATAGATCGCGATGGACCTAATGGGCACCCCTGGCCTAAAGCCTCTTTGACTCAGTAGGGGGCATGTTGACCTCTGTAGGGAGACCACTGCTTCTCCACAGAGTGTCTCACTTTGCAGCTGGCAGAGGAAGGGATTTTCTACTCAAGCTGTAGCTGCTTTAGAAAGCTAAAATGTTAAGCAGTTGATTCAATATTGTTTTCCTGTACCCGGAATGTATGTAGTTGATTTAAACTGAAAGTTCCATAGGGCTTTAATAATTGTATTTCTTACCTGTTTATCCTGCCAGTTTTCAGCAACTTGGATCATTCCTGTGAGAATACTGACAACATTGCATCATCTATGTCAAGTTACTATTATGCTGACAAGCTGGAGCTTTCAATAGCTTACATGTGCATTTTTATGATTAAAAGAGGACCCCAGGCAGAACATCAAATTTTGTAATGGAAATGTAAAATGAATAGCGACTTACCAAAGTCTGCTTTTACTTGCTTAAGTGACCTCCGCTGTCACCTCTTTTTTTTAAGTGCAGGTTTGAATATGATAGGAATTGGCTGGTTGCTATGGGAAACACCTTTTAGCTTTTATAAAACAGTCTTGCAAATAATTAGTTTGATTTTACAAAGGAAGGGGGAAAACAATCAAATATAGACCGTTTTTCTTTAATAAACAATATTTACTTTACAACAAATGTCAACTTGCCACTAGTAGGGAGCTGCACAATCACACAACTACTTCTGCAGAAGCCTACTGGGTGCCGATGTTTGTTGTATACAGATGCAGCAAGTTATGTTTCCTTTCGGCTGGGTTCACACCTGGGTGTTTTTCAGTGCTGAAAAACGCTCCGGAAGTGAAATACTATGAATCCCATTGGGCATGGTTCCCACCTGGGCGTATTTCGTGCTGAAAAACGCCCTACGCGCGAAAAAGTACTTGAGCTTCTTTTTCGCGGCCGATTGCAGCGTGTATCTATTGTTATTCCCGAGTGTGGCTCGGGGTTAACAAAGCGGTAACCCCGAGCCACACTCAGAAATACAGCGTAGGTTTTACCTTGTCCGCGATCCCCGCTGTGTCCTCCGGCCGCTACAGTCTTTTGGGTTCCGTCCCTTGCGAGCGTCCGCTTCGCAGGGGGGCGGAACCGGCGGGAAGTTTGAAAGTTTAAAAAAAACAAAACGAAAAAAAGATAGAGAAAAAAAACAAAAACATACTGCCAGGGAGGTTAAAAAACGAGCGTCTAACGCGTGTTTCATTAAACTAAAAAACGAGCCTATTAGGAACGCCCAGGTGTGAACCCAGCCTTCAGGTTACGGAGCAATCCAAACACCACAACTTTGTTTAATAACAGTGCAAAGAGAAGTAACTAACAGGGCTATTCACTAAAGAGTGAAGAGTGAAGAGGTTGGAGAAGGCAGGAGAAGGGAACAATCTAGGACAACATCGCTGATTGGGAACAATTCTCCAATTCAGCTCACTTTCCAGTTCACCTATATTGTCCTAGATTGTTCACTGCTCCTGTCTTCTCCAAACTCCTCACCCTTTTGTGAATAACTCTGTAAATAATCACAAGGTAGGAGTCAGAATCTGCAGACTGAATGTAGTTACTGCATTTGACTGCACTATGTTACTAAATAAAATCAGTGAAGGGCTGTGCACATTTCAAGGTTTCATTTCAAAAAAGTTGTTTTGGGTGAACAGAGCATCCCTGACGCAGGGTGTCTATCTACTGATCATCGTCCAACTGTTGTAGTAATGTCCGTCGTCTCTTCTCCAGCTCTCCTTCACTGAGCTCACTCTCTGATGTGTCCCAGCCTGTCTGAAACATAGGCAGGAATGAAAAACACAAAGACGGGGTGATATTAAATAGAGGAAAATCAATTGTTACCTCAGAAAGAACAAGAATACAATAGGACAATGTATGCCTAAAGCCAAAGCTTTGTTTCAGTTTTGGATAGAGGTTTTTTTTTCTGTCTGTGGCCTATTGGGGAGATTCCCCCCTCACTTCCTGTGGGAGGTGAAATGAAATGTCTCCAAAATGAGGAAAACCCCCCTCCTAGTTGTCACTGAAACAGATGTCTCCATGGCAGGATTCACCCTCTTTCTGCTCCAGTGACCACAGTAACATTTGCATTTCTAATCACTTTCACCATTAACACTGGTTGCCAGAACAAATCGAGAGGCTGAATCTCCCCAGTGAGGACAAAGGCAGCAAGAAAACCCTGACAACAGATTTAACCCTTCCTCACTTCATTCAAAACACACACAAAAAAAAGTTTTTGACTATAGATACACTTTAATAAAAAATAAGAAGTCCTATGAACATACTGAAGATGAAGATACTGCAGCCAAAGCAATTGTAATAATGGCACAGCAAGATTTATAGCGTCAAAAGATCTTGGGGGGAATTTATCTCTGAACTGGAGCAGCTGTCCATAGTAGCCAATCAGCTTCTCTTTTCAGTGTGTTCACTTATGCTTTAAAACTGAAAGACGGAAACGGATTGGTTGCTCCACATTCTGCACTCATTTTGATAAACTTTTTTTTACAAAGGGCCCATTATAAGGGAGAACAGGTATCTTTCTCACTTATAAAGGGACTTTGAAATATCACAAATTTGTATTCTAAGAAATACGTTTGCTTGTGCTTTCTCTTCCAGTATGGCACCAATTGTTGCAGCAAACCTCCTCTAACATGAAGCTACTGTATAGAACACCTAGCTGCAGGTGACAGCTAACCTAGTGCATAATATCGCACCCCTCTCAATTCAATGCCGTTTATTCAACAACCTTTATTGAAAAAAAGCATTGCTCTGGCATCTGTCCAGAAAAGTTTGAGTTTTAGGCACCATAATGTTGGTGCTAGATTGTAGAAAGACTTATAACCCTAATGGCTTGTTCACACCATCTCCAATGCACTATTTTGTGGGGTCGCACCAGAACGTGGGCATTTCTGTGCCACGCATTCTGGTGTGGGCGATCGCACTACAGACAGGGGTGTGTGGCTGCGGTGCCATTGCCTTGAATGCACCGTCATGCCCCCTCCTGCACCAGAATGTAGGGAGGCTTTAGAGTATGCGATGCAGTGCATTCCAGCAGCTAACCATGCTGGAACGCGCGGGAATTGGTGTGAACGGGCCCTAAGGCCTGGAACTTAAAGCATATGTAAACCCCAAAAACCTTTTTCTTTTTATTTTGGATAGCGCAGGGAAGGGTTAAACCCAGTCACTTTTTTTTTTTTTGCTGTCTGTGTCCTATTGCAGAGATTTTCCTTCACTTCCTATCATAGAGACAAAAGAGGAAATGAGAGTAAATCTACAAATTGAGGGGAATTCCTCTTTTACACAGATGTTCCCATTAAAGATTTCCCTCCTATTCCTGTTCTGAAAGCAACTATAAAATGTTGTTTTTGTACTCCGTCTAAAATCCTTTTCTTTGAGGGACACAGGTCCTACCCCTCTGTGTTTATGAGGATGCTTTCGATACTACTTGCTAGAAACTGAGGCATGCTGGTAGCAGGAGGGGTTAGGTCTTACAGTTTTTTGTTTTGCAGAGTCCAATTCTCCTGTAGGAAGCAGTATAAAAAAGCATTTTACGACGAGTACAAAAAAAATCCTATTTGAAGGCTACAACCCTTGTTAGAGGTTTTGGTCACTTCCTTTCTGGTGAAACAATTGCTAGCAGGACAGGAAGTGAAGGTAAACAAAGCCCCAGACAGCAGTAAACACCACAGTTCTGATTCTTCCCACATTCTTTTTTTTTTTTAACTAGAAAAAAAAGTGTTTGGTTTGAAATACACTTTTATTCCCAATTTGTATATTTGCGGCTTTTTTGGTAACAAATATGAACCGTCCTCCTTTCCTAAAGAAACTGCTGATCCTAGATGCAAACACTGATTGTCACACAATGAAAATTGCTGGAGGAAATATAGGGTCAGGAAACTGGAGAATGTAAATTTAGACATGGAGTTTTTGATGGCGAGTAACAATTGTGAACCCCCCTCCCCCAGAAGAGGAGAGAGCTATGTCGTCCAAGGAGGGAGGGGGCTGTGTTTGAAAATTTACTTTCCTGGAGTAGTTGGATTTTCAAAGTGGCTCATTCCAAGTGAACAAAAATCGTTTACCTACAATTTTTAAGTTGATGACAGGGCCTCTTTAAAGTGTATGTTAAGCCAAAACTTTATTTTTTTATAGTTTTGGGAAGAGCGGAGAAGGGTTAGAACCTCTATGAAGTTTTATTGCTGTTCCCCCTCTGTGGAGATTCATCCTCCTTTTTTTTGTCCTGTTGGTAATAATAATGGGAAAATCCTGTTTTCCTTATTGTCCATTGAGGGACACAGGAAATAATAACATTTCAGGATGTCCAAAAACTGAGGGGCAGGCAATAGCAAACAACTGCTAATAGGCCCATGAACAAAAGAACTGGGAACTCTGTGCAGCCCTCAAGAGGCACCCAATACTCCTGGTCAGGTTTAAACTCCCCACCTGGTAAGAGAAAGGCAAGACCAGGTGGTAAGTTGGCATAGGGAACTATCCCTGATGCCAGAAGATCAAGAAAATATCACAAAACTAGCATGGAGAAAAGAAATGTGAAGCATAGCTCTTAACATGGAAAGTGGTCAAACTGATCCAACCAGAAGGGTGGGACAAAAAGTAGGATTTTTTACTTCCTTTTCCTGAAGTACAGTACAGGACACAGGCTTTTTAGGTCTTAGACTCTGGGTTATATGCTACCTTCAGGTGACTGGACACTGGCAAAGACAAATACTACAAGGACAGCCCCCATGTAACCCCTTACTTTTCCAGTAAGCCTCAGTTTTTAACCAAGCAATAGGGAGATCATAACAACAGAGGAGAGGGGCCTGTGTCCTGTGCTGTATTCTAAGAAAAAGATTTTTACAAGTATGCCAAAAATCCTATTTTCTTAATCATACAGTACAGGACATATAATACGTCTTAAGACTCTCCCTAAGCAGTCCAACTGAGAGGTGGGCAACACAGCAAATGCTAACAGGCCCACAGGAAAGTGGGCAAGAAAAAGATCACAGAGGGTTCAGAGTGCAGCTTGAAGCACCTTAAGCCTAAAGCTGGCAGATACTTGAACATCCACCTGGTAAAAACAAGCATGAATGGAAGCCCAGATGGCAGCCTTGCAAATCTGGGAAAAAGATACCTGATCCTTAAAAGCCCACAAAACACTAACAGATCTAGTATAATTAGCTTTAACAGGAAAGGGAGGAGCTTATCCTTCAAACTTTAGCACATACACACAGCACATACCATATCCAGACAGTGGAGGCAAATTTCCTTTGGACACAAAGAACAACATGCTCATTAAGCTGGAAAGAAGAAACCACCTTAGGAAGAAAGAAGCCCTTAGGCCTAAAGACAAACGTATCCTGTGCTAGGAAAGGCTCCTTACGGGACAAAGCTGTTAGAAGCTTGTCTCACAGAGATAATTGAGAGAGAGAGGCCACCGTGTGAGAGTGGCCAGCCAAGGGAATATCCCAGGTATGATTGAAAGGTGGCGAGACAAGCTGCACAAATGCCTTCACCAAGGGGTAAGTGGCTAGCAGTCTTTGGAACAGAATAGCCAAGGCAGAGATCTGCCTTTTTATGGTTCCCCATCAGATGCTGATCCAAACCAGACTGGAGAAAGGAGAGACCCCGCCCCAAGGAAAACTTTCTAATTTCGTTAATGTTCTTGCCTCGCACCAGGCAAAATAGCCCTTCCACGTACAATTGTACACCTTGTGGGAGGTCGACTTTCTAGCACTTAGGAGATTAGGGATGACCAAAACTGAGAAGCCTCTGTCTTTCAAGACCTAGGCTTCAACAGCTAGGCCATCAAAGCTAGCGACTGAGAAAAGGATGGAAGACTGGTCCTTAGGGCAGAAGATCTGGAGTCCGCCAGGTGACTGAGAATGTGCAAACACCATGCCCTCCTGGGCCAGTCCAGTGCTATGAGGATTACAGTGATGCCTTCCAACTTGATTCCGTGCAATAAACCATGAAGAATTACGCATTTCCCCTGCGGACGTCGGTGGTGACGAAACTCGTAGGGGCGGGTCTACCATACCAAACACGTTTGTTTTCGGACTGGCCGAATTTGATTTTTAAATTTTAAAGAAATTTTAAATAAACTATTTCTGGAACTTTTATCCGATGAAATAATTTTTCTTTGCATGACTGTGGGAATACTTTACACTGAGGACTGATGGTAAAGCACGAGATACGAAAGACGCCGCAGTAACGGTGTCCCATCAGACAAAACGTTTGGGGCTGTCTGTTACAGCTGAAAGTTTTTTGGTGAGTACGCACTCTATCAGGGGGATGTATTGATCTTAATACAAACCCCAGTAAAGCACTACTCTACCGAACATTGGAAGGCTCTGCTACTTGTTTTGAAGCGGAGCTGTCTATTACAGAGACTTTATCTGTTTATATATATTTTTTGTCATTCACAATTATTTTCGTTTATACTTGTTTACCCACCAGAATTTTTTCACGTATATGATTTGTCACTTAATGTTATCAATGCACATGAAGGTGTAAAAAAGCGAAGGACTTTTTCAATTTGTGTACATTTATTCACTTTATTTTTACACACCGAGGCACCTAGAAACACTTGGTTAAAAGTCACCTCTTAACAGTACACATGTTCATTTACTAGTACAGTGCCGTGTTTAATTGATTAACGGTACTTGCCTTCATGTGGTCTTTTCATGACTTATAGTCCACAAACACGATTATATGGTATTTGATTCACCTACTAGCGTTGTTAATTCGGTTTAAACAAACCAGGAAGAAGCCTTGGAGGTGGAAAAACACAGATCACACCTGTGACAGATCTCTTCAAACATCTCCAGGTGGAGTGTTCATACCCCCACATCCAGGTATTGACAACTGCAGAAGTACGCCTGACCCCATCCACCACCCCACCCCTTCCCCGCCCCCACGGTAGGTAATGTATGCTGTGGTGGTGTTCAACTGAATCCTGGTCTGATGAACCGAGATGTCCAACGATGTACGGAGAGGGTATCTAGGATTTCTCAGCCCGAGAGGCTAGTATCCATTGTTACTGGAAAATGGGACTTTGCTCCCTCCAGCGCTAGTTTGGCTGTCCACCATTCTAGGGAGGGCTTGGTCGTGTTGGAGAGACCTGCGTTGTTCCATGCAGTCAGGATACTGAGTTGCAACCATCTACAGTGAAACTGGGCATTGCCTCACAGGATGCCACCATCAGAAATGCATGGATGGGCGGCTCTTGGACTGAAGGGTCCAAACATGTGATCAGAGAGACCTTACCTTTTCATGATGAAGAAAACCCCTGGGCAGGGAGTCTAAGATCAGGCCCAGGTTGCGGTGCACCTCATCAATAAGGGCAGCAATGGCATCCATAAGCTTTGGGGTGAGCTTGTTAGAGCTCTTCCTGTGAAAATAGAGTGGCTGTGAGCACAAATTCTAAATCCAATTCTGGGGGACAGGTTGAAGGGGCACCCTTGCGACTCCTGTGGCCTACTGCCTCTAAAAGAGTGACAATACTTCCCATGAAATCTAAGATGGTAGCATAAAATTCCTCTTTAGAGTGGAGGGTAGTGGAGAAGGGTGTTAAAGAGACCTAAATGCGGGCAGTGGTTTGAACCAGGGGAACTAGGGCACATTGCAATAAGGCTATTTCCACTTTCATAGCCAAAGCCAGGTGTGGAATGCCCATGATCTGCCATGTGCTATCCAAGTATGCCCCCCAAGGCAATACTTACTGAGAGGACACCGAAGGAGTGAGTTCTGCAGTGGAGAGATATATTTGTGCGTCATCAGCTTAGATATGTTATTTGAAGCTATGTGAGCCTATTAACTGAAGGTGACAAAGTAGCCCTTAGATACTGTAGGTAGGAGGAGAACCATGACAGAGCCAAGTAGGCCACGTTTTTTGTGGAACAGCAGGTGGTCAGCTGTGTAAAAAGCAGCATAAAGGTCTAACAGCAAGAGTAAGGCGTAATGGCCATTGTTTTAGTAGTTTCATAAGTCATTAGTGAGGTTCAGGGGGTCAGTTTCAGTGGAGTGTTGGGGGCAAAAGCCAGACTTTAAGGGGTCAAGGAGGTTGTTATCGGTAAGGTGGCAGTTGTATATAAAGGCGTTCTAAAAGTTTGGAGGTGAATGGGAGTAAGGAGATTGGTCTGAGATTGTTAAGGTTGGCGGCATACAGTGAGGGTTCTTTTTGGTATGGGGGAGACCATTGCTTGTTTTGGGGCAAGGGGAAGATGCCAGTAGAGAGTGAAAGATTGAAAATGTGAGTAAGATAGTGTAGGATAGAGGGTGACCAAAGTAGTAGCGAGGGAACAGGGTCCAGGGGGCAAGTGGTGAGGCAGGTGTCAGAGAAAAGCTTTGTAACCTCCTCTGGTGACGGGGTCAAAAGAGGAAAGTAACAAGTGTGATGGAGGGTCTGGTACGTTAATTGGAGAAGGTGACTAAGCAATGGAGATCTCATCGCGAATTGCATCTATTTTGTTTTTGAAATGAATGTCAATGTCCTGAGCAGTGAATTAGTGAGTTAGTACATGGAGGTTGTGGGGGACATAGTAGCGATTTTAAAAAGTTGACGAGAACTGGATGAGAGTGTGTTAGTGAGAGTGACAAAAAAAAGTCTGGCAGCACGGAGGGAGGAATTATATTTTAAGAGGGTAGCTTTATACAGATCTGTATCCTCTGATAAATGTTGGGCAATAATGCTCTCGCTGACTGCTCCCGGAGGTAAAGGTGGTCCAGGTACCCCACTTATGGGGATCCCCTGAGAATACAGTAGAGCCAAACCAACAGGGAGTTGGTGAGAATCAGAGGTGCAGAGTGTGACGACATGGTGATCAGTTTATGAGTTAAATGTGTATTGGTGTTGGGTTATAGTTAAGTGTGTTATGATGTGTAACTTGTGTATGAAAGGACTGTCAGCACCATCCCTCGTTATCTCCCATTGTACTCTGAAAGAGCCCAGGATAATGACATTCTGGCCAGGCTCTTTCTATGGCTGTCTGGAGCTCGTTAGCAGGGGAAACCCTGTGGTGTTGTGAAGACAGAATGTCTGGGGAAGGAAGGGTGGATGTGATGGGATTATAATCTGATCTCTTGCTGTATAAAAGTTTGTGCAGTTGTTCAATAAAGCAGAGTTTGTTTACCCTACACTCAAGCCTTGGCTAGTGACTGGGGAAACTGAGAGTTAAGGATCTTCAGGTTGCAATATCTCCTCAGCAAGGAAGAAGACAGCGGCGGACATACGCATCCTGAGTACGGGGATCCGTCACATTGGTGGCAAGCGGTGGGATGCTATTCCTTACCTAAGGAGACATTCAAACCACCACCACGACCAAGTTTGCTGCTGATATAGGAGAAGAGCCACAGTTGCCTACGGCCATGGAAGCACTGGCCCAGCTCGACAATCCTGGTTCTGCCCAGGAAATGCTGGGAAGGAGAGACTGCAGCAGCACTATTGTGGCAAGGTCCTCCCTACATCCATGGAACGAAACTGGCTACGGGGGTCCGTCACACAGTGGATATGCTGAATGGAAGGGCAACAAACTGTTGTGTGTCCACAGCTAAAACACCGGTATAGATGAGCAGGAAACATGGGAATGCACAAGTATGTATCCCTAATGTCCACCATTAGGGAGTAAAGGGAGGTGATGACGGAGCGTGTGGATTCCACATGGAACTTTTGGACCCGCAGAAACCCATTGAGAATCTTCAAATCAACAATAGTCCTCCCTTTTGCTTTGGGGACAGTGAACAGGTTGGAATATAACCCCTGAGATTTCTCTGCATCCAGTATGGGGAATATGACCCCATGAGAAAGAAGCTGATTTAGGGCAGCCAAAAGATAGGTCTGTCTTTCAGAACATGTTAGGAAGCGAGGAGAAGGCAGGCAGCAAATCTCAGGTTGCAACCCTTGGTTACATCACTCTTGACCCAGCCATCGGAAAGTCCGGGACCTAGGAGCCTGAGAAGGCACTAATGAAAGTGAGGGTACTTGCCAGGCCATTAACGCAATAGCACAGAGAAAAAAAAAACACTACTAAAAGCAGAGGGGTCTGTCAAGATGGACCGAGGGTCCCTAGCCAAACATTTGACCATATAGATAAGGTCTGACACACCACCCTGATGGCACCAGCAGGTTGCATAGCAGTCCTGCAAAGGCAAAAAAGATTTTAAACAGGGCTTCTTACCTCTCTTCTACATTGGACATCCTCTACAGGGACTGGTAATGTCTTGTTCAAACAAGAGATTGCTGGGCCTATGACAGGAGCAGCATATTTCTAAGGGAAACCCTCTTCAATAGAATACTATCGAGCAAACCATTTGGGAGGAGTATACAATTTTTCTGGGGTGATTCCAGCCAACATACAACACTGGCTGTATGGGCAGGCTACATGGAACACGGAAAACTTAAACAGGTTTTGGCATTTTTGGAAGATTAGTGACCTTGGGCAAGGCTGATGCAAGTGGCTCTAACTGTAAACAAGTATGCACAGCATCTACAATAAAAGAAATAGTGTTCCTTGCCGGCTTTTTCTTCCTAAGGGACTGCAAAGGCAGGCAAAGAAAGGTCAGAGGGAGACTCTGAGGGGTGAAAGTGAGGAGGCCCGCAAAGGCTTGGCCAAGAAGAAAACCCAATCCGGATAGCTGCTGAAAGGTTCCACAGTGGCTGTAAACTGCTTAGGGAAAACTTGCTAGAAGAGTCTTGACGCAGGAAAGTTCAAAAAAGGATAAGCTTCTCACAGAGCAGGGAGAAGGCGTCCATCCTCTAAGGACAATGATGCATGCTGGGAGTGGGAGAGGTGATACAGGGCTGTTCTTACAGCCAGTGTCCAATCACCTGAAGGTGGCCGCATAACCTCACTGGTTCCAGAATTAACTCCTTGTGTCATGTGATGTACAATCAAGAAATGTAGATAGCTGCAGACTGGAGTTTTACTTTGAAGGAAACCTATTCTAAGAGAAATACAGGGGCCAACATGGCTGATCTTCTAAAAATAACATTTACCTGTCTCTGGCTTCAGCATTTTCTGAGTTTCTGGCAGAACCCCTAATCTGCATACTTCAAATCAATGGATTAGAAAGTACTAAAGAGCATATCAACATGAGTCAGGGGATCTCACAGTTTTAAAAGGAAATAATATTTATTACAATAACAATATATGGAACCATAAGCATGTAAGAATGTAAATGTGTATATAGTGCAATAATAGCCCAAAACATCAAGTTACTATACGTTACCTCCAAAATGAGGGCCTCTGATGTTATTTAAAGATCATTTAGTTAGCAGTGTGAGAAGAAAAGTACTAAGAGCCCTATGCAGCAACCAATCAGAATGAATTTTCTGAGGTCACACCAGTAGAAGATGGATTTTGATTGGTTGCTGTGTGCACTAAGTGCCTGTTATATAGAATAGAGCTGTATTTCTGCCACTGGAGAGGTTGACATCATGTATGTTCATCTTATAGGCGGTGTCTGCTCTGTATATTTAATATCATAATGGGTTCTGTTTTCTGCGGGCAGACTGGATTCTGCACAAATACATTTCACTGATTCTTTATGCTGTTCCATATGATCCAAAATGAACCAACACCTGTTTACATTTAACTGTGCATACTTGAACCTGTACAGAATCACTCACTTACTTTCTCATTTCTTGAGGCTTGCTTTAATGATCTGCGATGACCGTCTGCAGTCTCCTCCTGATCTTGGTCTCTGTCTTTTGCTCTCTCTTTCAGTTGCTCGACCTCCTGATCTCTTTCTCTCTTGTTTTTTTCCTTCTCCCTCTCGGCTTCACTTTCAGGACTGTTCTAAAAGAGAAACTGCAATTCTTTTCTGTTCTCTTCTCCGACACACCCAGCCTCCCCCATGTCAGTAGGCTCACCGATTTGTGCCTTTTCTTCTTACTCTTCTTCTTCTGTCTCTTAGATTTCTTGGTGCTGTGTTCTGACAAAACACAGGTGAGACAAGTAAGAACACCACAGCACCCCTTACACACCTTCCTACCACTTGTACTTCCATATGATATTGCCTGTCCCTAGCCATAAGAAGAAAGCATTAGGGAAATATGAGCTGGTCAAGGTTTTTATTTGCATATCTTACGATTTATTAATTTTATACACTACTTCAGCACAGTTGTGGATAGAAAATAACAGAGCTGATAAACTGCTGCCTCTGTCCCCACTGGGGAATTTCCCCTTACTTAATGTCCTGGAGTCCACTTCCACAGGGAAAGGAAGTGAGGAGAAAATCTTAAAGGGGGCTCTAATCCTTTCAAAACCTGTCAAGAGAAAGATGGAGAAAAAAATGAAAAATACTGAAAAAACAGCCTTGGGGATGGTATTACTACCCAGTAAGTCATTGACCAAAAGACACATGCAGGTTGGGTATTTAGACTTCAGTGGCTGCATGCCTGTTGCAAATCACTGACTCACTAGATACTGAAGCCACAATCAGATAGAGAGCCCACAACCAAGAGCCTATAAAATCTCAACAATGGCAGCTCCAATTTTTCTATCCTCGCAAATTATTTTTTCATTGAAAAGTTAAAGTGGAACCCCAGGCAAATATTACATCTGAGCTCCATATTTTGAATTAAAGAGCTCCAGGAAAAAAAATGATTAACCCTTGCAGTCGGGCTAGCCCCACACAGCAAGGGTTAGCTACTCGTTGATATTTATGAACGAGCACTTAACCCTTGCAGAGCAAGGGGTAGCCCCACTGAAAGGGTAAATAGTTTTTCTTCCTTGTCATACAGTTTATCTTCAGATCCCCAACTCTTATTTGAAAAGAAAACATCCATCTTTCGCTGCAATACTAACCTTTTCTTTGGGGATGTCCCTTTTAGAAAGTCTGCTGAGTCCAGTAGCTGCTGTCCCAATTCCAGGACTGATTGACACCCAACCTTACTGAACCCAGAAGTGAGTGCATCCCCTGTAATCAGGGGTGTATTTACTGCAAGGCAAACTAGGCCGTTGCCTAGGGCGGCACTTTCTAGGGGGGCGCCAAAAAATGCTGCCCCCCAAACCAGTTAGGTAAGAGAAAAAAAAATACATTATATTATAAAATATTCATAAATTACTGCCAGTACTGCCTGGACCTGATGCTTCTTTGACTGGTGGACAAACGTGTCCACCTATGCCGCCTACTCTTACATATATGCCGGCTGCAGCTCCTTCCTCTTCCTGGTCAACATGCTGTGCAATATATTGGTGTGTGTGACTTCCATCCAGATGCACTGGCAGTTATGCGCCGGACCTCCCTGGGAAACCGGCACTCAAATCTCTGACTTCAGGCAGCGGAGATGCTTCCGTAGGACCCCAGGGCTGAGACCCAGATGGTCATCGTGCCGGGTTATGTCTCTAGAGCGGGGCAAGCTACAGAGCCCTGTGGCCGAGTCAGAAGATCGGTAACTGCAGAATTAGAGGGCCCAGCATATTAAGGCAGAAGATCGGTGTTGCAGCTGCAGAACTAGAGACTAGCACAGCATGGCAGGAGAGAATGGTTATTGTAGTTGCAGAACAAGGGAGCCCATCAAGCCAGGAATGGAGAAGGTGGCTATTGCAAAGGTAGAACTAGAGGGTCACCCTATGTTGATAGCGCAACCTGTCAGAATCTAGATACACCGTGCGTACTGAATGCCGCGACTGACAGGTTATGTAAAATGTCTTAAACAGGAAGGGGTGGCACTGATTTAGGGTTCTCGGGTTTAGTCTTGCTTGGGCAGCACAAAACCAAAATACAACACTGCCTGTAATCCTTTAAGAAGATTCAATCATCAGCTAGTCTAAGCGTGCTGGTGGCACACACACACGCCACTGCTATGTGATGCATGTGTACGGATAAACTTTGCCCACAGGGCGCTGTTTGATAGAAGACTGAGAGGAAGTCAGAGGTCAAAATAGTGCTGTTTGTATAAAAGGTTTTTAGTTCAAGAAGCATTGCTAGTATAATTAGCTAAACTCTATATTTATATTAAAAAGCCTGTACACCAGACATCAGACTGAGGATAGAATTGAGTTTGACACAGGCTAAAATTCTTTGCACAGGGATGTCAGTCATCCTAACATTTTCAGGAGCTATGGGTTGGAGGGGTGAAGGCTTAGGCAGCTTACAGCATAGGCAGGAGCTCAGCAGTGGGATGATACTTGTCCTTATTGCTGTGAGTAAAGACTGACCTTGAATAGTGAGGTCACCTCTTCCCTAAGTAGTGCAGTGTGGCAGGTGTGTATGAACCACTACAGTGAATTTTTAGGTAACGTGCCACCAAGAATCATCTGTTCTCTCAGCTGGCCCTGCAGCCTCCTATATCATTAATGTGTGTGATAGACAGGCCCCTCTAGAGGGACACAGCACAGGTACAGAAACCATCTGGTCAAAGGATAATATCATAGCCTTGCAGCAGAGTTAGGTGACATTCACTTTTTACTTTCAATGTCAAGGGCAAATTTGAAACATAATCATGTCTGGAGATGGTCTTTATCTCCTCACCAAACACAACCAAACAGGATGTACCTGAATCAATTGATGATGAAATGTCAGATCCCGACTCCGAATGGTTTCTCCTTTTTCTTTTCTGTGGTCGTTGCTGATTATTTTCTTCATCAGTTTCAGAAACCTACAGTTAGAACATAGACAACATAACAGACAGCCCAGCTGTAACAATCTGCACAAATAATACAATAAAACAGAAAAAGACACTAAACTACCCACACCGACCATATTAAGACTTATGCTTAATATACTACTGTATATTTTAATAACATTTTTATTTACATCAATATTCAAAATCATCTAGAACAGAGGAAAATAATATGATTTTTGTATTTACTGTAAAATCTTTTTATTTAAGTTTATTGGGGAGACAAGAATCCAGGAACATGCTGCCACCTTCAGGAAGTTGGGACACTGGCAAAAAGAAAAGTTGCAAGCCAGTCCTTGTATAACCACTCCTCTACACCGGAAAAAATCAGTCTTGTGAGAAAGCAATACACGGGGTATTAAGTAAAAAATCTTATTATTTTTATTTGAGGGATTCAGAAACAGAATGTCCAAAAGCAGTTAAACTGAGGAGTGGACAACAGCCACAAACAGACCCAAGAAGGAGCAAGAAACCATCTGCAAATCTGAACTAACAGAAGGACCAACTCCTGAATCTGAACCAGATGAGGTGAAATCTCCAGCAAGACAGGGGAATCTGCCAGTGACCAAGGGATGGCCACAGAGGATCAATCTGTTGCTCAAGACCAGTATATAAGAGATCACCAGCAAGGGGAATGACTCCACCTAAAGAAACACTCAGCCCTCAAGAGGATGTGGATCAAAAAGACACCCCAATAGGTGGAACAAAACAGTTAGCTGATCAGGTAGAAATGGACCAACAACGTAATATGGTCAACAAAAATGGGACCAATTACTGGTAGAATAGGCCCCTTGAGAGAACCTCAACCACAAGAGAAGACCAGTTTATTTATTTGACTTGGACTCTGCTGTACATCAAGCCTTACACTTCCAACCTTTGGGTTTCAGGGAAGGAAAATTCCAGAAAAGGAATGAGGTTGTCTGGTTAGGCAACCAATCTCGCAACAAGATTTAAGAAGGAAAGTGATATACAGGTAGAGCTGCAACAACGATTCGATTTAGTCGAATAAAATCGACGATCAAAAACGTTGTCAACGCTTTCGATCGTCGAATAGTCGGCTATTACATTGACTGTTCGCGGCTCCACACTCAAGCCCCGCACGCAGCACACGCCCACCGAACGCACACACTGCGCCCATCGCGGTCCAGCCCCCGGCTCTCCTCCAATCCCGGCGCTCCTCACATCTAGCCGGGCCGGTGCGATCACATCATGGGTGCCGGGGATGTGAGCGCGACAGGTGTCCGCCGGGGGACGGAAACTATGGCTGGGGACGAGCTGGCATCCAGGCTGAACCGTTCAGTAAGTGACAGTAAGTGCCCCGAGCACCCCGGAGCCTGGGACCCGACACCGTGCACCCCAATCCACCATCATACCCGTCCACTGCATCCCATTCCACCATTCCTGCATCATACCCGTCCTCTCTATTCCTGCATCATACCCGTCCTCTCTATTCCTGCATCAAACCCGTCTTCTCTATTCCTGCATCATACCCGTCCTCTCCAATAACAACAGCTATAGAGGAATACATCAGATCCCAGCAATAGTACATTATATTTAGATAAAATAATCTGCGCTCTTGGAAAGATAAGGCTAAAAAGTTAAAATACTAATCCTAAAGCTGCTATGAATTGGTAAAATATGATGTGCAAGTGAGGAAAGGAAAAGGAAAGGAAAATTACCGATAGGTAAGTATACAATTTTTCCCCCGTTTTCTGACACCTACATGGCAGCATACAATGGGATATAGCGACCACACAACCAGGGAGGGTAATTCTGAGATATTTATTTGTACCACTGGTAAACACATTCAGAACCAAACTTCTCTATGGACAAGACTCCTGGATAGACCCTGTAATGGGACAGGAATATATACCAGGTTACTGCCTTCCAGAATAAACAGATCGACTTAAAGAAAAAGGTAACCTCCATGCTCTCAATCAGCATAGCAGCCACATTTTGGGCATGAGCTGAAACAAAAACTTGATTCTGGAATACTGGCAACATTAATGTCCTATTTAGATGGAAGTATTGTTCAACCTCTGGAAGATGCTGGGAGAAAGATTTAGGACTACCTTGTCTGTGAAATGGTCGCAATAAGGTGGTTTGCAGCCTAATCTTGACTATCCAACACCCTCCTCCCCGAGGAGATTGCTGTAAGAAAAGCTATTGTACATGTTACTGTAAATGAGTAAGTGTGAGCTAGATGAAGTTGAGGAAGGAAGAACATATATATGGCACAATATGTAAATTCTAAGGGAAAAGAAGAGACTCTTCTGAAGAGTGAATCCTTGCACAAGTCCTTAAGAGCTGCTTTATTAATTAATGAGCTACCCATTGTGTCTCAGAGAATGAATATAGAGGGTACTGACACCCAAGTACACATTGCTTGCCTGAAGAAAGTCCAATATATCTGACAAGGCAAGGTGAAGAGAGACAAAACCTATTAAGCTTGCAAAGCCTATGAAAATATTCCACACTGTAGAAGATATGTGATGTTTAGCAGGTGCTCTATTATTCAACAAACACTCATTGACTGAAGATGAGTAATCCAGACAAGGCAGACTTTACTTCCAACCTTCAAGCCCCTTAAGGTAGTTTTGGATGTGTTACGAGAATGGTGGCCTTTGGAGGCGGGCTTTAATTTATAGTATAACTGGTTCTGTGATTAGGCTGGGGGCGGAGCCATACCCATTGTAGGCTGTCATGTAGGTGTCAGAAGTTCTATTTTATGACCAACTATCTCTGTCTTTGACACCTCTGAGGAGGTATCCATTCTCAGACACATGCTGCATACCAGGTAGTATCAATGAACCTGCTTATCTTCACTGAAAGTAATAATATTGCCTAGAATTGATATGCAGGCTGTAAGAGGCTTTCGTTATTTATCTTTAAGACAGATTACCTTTAAGTCATGTAAAGGCATAGCTCCATAGTAGGTTCTCACCTTCTCCACAGTCCCAGCATTGTCCCATGCATTGAATGGGTCCAAAGTCTTCTTCATCCTTTCTGCAGGGCTAGGTGATTGGGAGTGAGAGCGCTTACGGTGGTGTTTCTTGGACTTTTTTGAGTGCTTCTTTCCTTTGAAGTGATGATGTTGACATTCATTCTACAAAAGACAGAAATATGTCACGTGACAAGGCTTTGCTAGAAAATACACATGGTATACATACTATACACTATACTGAAAATATAAGAATCTAAACCCTTTACAGGTACTTGTCTTCCTATACAGTGGCCCTTAATCTGGCAGATGAAGGACAAGTGCTACAAGCCAATCAGTCTAATGCTACCATGGACATAAAGCAAAGCTCTGAAGAAACTGGCTTGATTGTTTGTTTATCCTTTTACAGCACTGTTGCCATAAAACTGATGTATTCATCAATATTTGTTTTACTTCTTACTAAAAGAACAATCTTTTAGGGTGCTTTCTGCTTTTATTTCAAGATAATTATATTTAATAACTCAGTGCCTTTCCAGTACAAAGAAGACTATTTGGTATTGTTGTATGTGTAATTTATGATTGCACAATGTTTTCACCAGGGGACACAGTAGATATTCATGGAAGGTTGTGTACAATCAAATAATTATTAGAAAATTCTGTATGCAAGTCCGCTCAGCACAATTATATGATAGATAGCTTGCTTGACAGGAGAGTACAAAGTGATAACTTTAATAGCTTGGAGATGCTCCTACACTGTCCAGTCGGCAGGACAGGCTTGGCTCAGTGCTTAGGCTGTGTGGCAGTGCATGGCAATGCCACGGTGCAGTATGGCGACTTTGGCACCCAGGACTCTCAGCCAAAGGGGCTGAGAGGGCCCAGAATGTGAACCATGTTATAAGGAAGAGCCTGGCTTTTCAGGTTCTTCCAGGTTTTCCTAATTGTAGCTGGGATCTGGAGCTCTGGAGATTTCTTAAGATGCCCATACACCTGCCGATTATCATACGATAATCGCCGGGGATACCGCGATCGTACGGTAATCGGCAGGTGTATGGAAGGCGTGCGACTGTTTCTACTGTACGGTCGCACATCTTTTGTCTTCCGAGCACAAGCGCACACTGGCTGCTTGGCATTGGAATCATCGGAAGCCCTCCCCTAGGCGGGCTTGCGATGATCGCAAGTACGATCTGCCTGTCCAATATGGGCAGATCGTACGAGATTTGAATGAGCTTACAACCAACGCACAACGAAAGTTGTGCGATGGTTGTAAGGTGTATGGCCACCTTTAGAGCTCTGGGTGGGATGAGATCTCCAGTCCTGGGGCCAGGTGTTGCCAATGACCAGCCTGGGCTGATCAGGTGGCTGAGAGCAGCCTCATTAAGAAGCCAGCCCAGAGCTCAGGAAGAGTTGTGATGCAGTTGTGTGTGTGCAGGAGGCACATGCCCACCAGCAGACTTGGGTGCGTGCTGGATGCACCTGGAACAGCCAGGGGAGGCTGGGAGAGGTCGGGAAGGTCGGTGATCCTAGGACCTGTTGGACACACTGCTGGGAGAGCAGTGTGAGTATCACACGGAGGTGTGCTGAGAAAGCTGAGGAACGCTACTAAGGACTGTACAGTGTATCCTGAAGAAAAGTAGATTATTATAAGAAAAGCTGATTATGAGAAGGTTGGCTCATCTTGTGTAACAGGGAGTTCTACCCTGTTGATGGAAACAGACTTTTTTTATGTTTGCCCTTAATAAAGCTGTGTTTTACCTGAATTTCCTGACTACAGTCGAGTGTCCTTGTTACAGCTGTATTGCATAGCCATAATGCAGATCACTGACCTGGCTGTGCTGTCTGGCACATTTAGATCATTAGTTCACACAAATATATTTGATGTGCATTTAAGCTGAATGTACACTTGCAAAATACACCTGCAATTTAGTTTTAGTGTGACGCACATTGCAAGTTTGAGAGCCCTATCAAAAAAGCTTTGCCAACAGAATTCTGCACAATGCTTGGCCATGTTGGACTGATAGCTACATATTTATATAACACTCTCAGTCACAGGGCATGCCATATTACTTACTAACCACACAGTAAAACCTATTGCTAAAGCGTCACCACAGTGTAACAAATTGAACATGTATGTGTATAAAAAATATCAGGGTGACATAATATCTTAAATGCTGGGTAATTTTTTTTATCATCTAGCACGCAGTGCCAGCTGATGAACAATGTTAGATGGTTTCACACACTGATGTATCTATACATTTAAAAAACTGCCTTCATTTAAAGTGGAGCAGGACTCGAAAAGTAAAGATTAGCCATCTTACAGGGAACATTAATAAATATTACAGTCATCTTTATTAACAGTACAAAGGTAAACATTTTTCGTTAATTATAGTCAGATTAATGAAAGATGATTTGTGACCAGATGCAAAGAGTTAGTGCACTTCTTATAGTGCTCTTTTCATTAAAAAAATAAATAGTCAGGCACTAAATGTATTTTGAACAGGAACAAAATATGTAGACATATTTGAAGGAACACTCAAACCTCAATAGATAAAAGAAACTCCTTAAATAGGCGGATTCTTTCTGATTCCACTGTGATTTGATTGAAAGAACTGTCTCCAGCAAAGCGCTCTCGGACCTGTATAGACAGCAGAACAGAGCATGTTGCTCACTTGTAACATGTACAGTGGCTTGCAAAAGTATTCACCCCTTGGCATTTTTCCTATTTCCTGTTGCATTACCACCTGGAATTACCATGGATTTTTATTTGGATTACGGGGAATGGACATACATAAAATAATCCAAAATGGTGAAATGTAATCAAGAAAATAACTTGTTTTAATAAAAATAAAAAATGGAAAAGTGGTGCGTGCATATGTATTTACACCCTTTGTTATGCAGACGCTACATAAGTCACATAATTAGTTAAATAAACTAGAGCTGCAACAAATAATCGAATAAATCGCTTATAATCCATAATGAGAATCGTTAAGGATTCTCATTATCGATTAGCTGATTGTTTGATTAGTTGAATCCGCAGCCGCTGCTACTCTGCTCCTGTTTTCCTCCCCGGTGGTGCTGACTGCATCGATCTGTTTCCCTTCCAATCCACGCTGATCTCCCCACCTGTATCGGCAGAGGCAGCGGGGACACAGACTGCTGCAGTCGGCACAAGCGGGGAGGAGAGAATGCTGTGCCTCTGCATTACCCCGCTGGTGCCCCCGTTCTTCTGCTGGTGCCTCCCCTTCCTGTTCCTCCGCTGCTGCCGCTTTACCTCCGTTGCTTACCCTGTGCCTCCGCTGCTCCCCCCGTGTCTTCGCTGCTGCCCCCGTTCCTGCGCTGCTGCCCCTGTACCTCTGCTGCTTCCCCCGTGCCCCCTCTTCTGCCAGTGTTAGAAAGCTGGCATTAAAATTTCCTTCAGCGGCTGGAAGCAATATCCAGCCTGCTATTGGCTATTTTGAATTGCAATAGCCAGTAGCAGGCTGGCTTTTGCACTCGCCCACTGCCTGATGTCAATCAGCAGAGGAGGGACCTGAAGGAGTGTGCAATAGCCAGCCTCCTTTTGGCTAGTACAATTTAAAATAGCCAGTAGCAGGCTGGATATTGCTCCCAGCCACTGCCTGCTGTGTTGAAATTCAGGTGCCTCAGCAGGCAGCTGCTATTCCCCAGTGAAGTGGAAAGGTGATACTAGGGGTCCAAAAGACCCCCAAATGTCACCTTAAAGAGAATCTGTCGCCTCCAATGTGCTATCACATAGGGGGCTTGTGAGCCCCCCCATGTGATAGCAATGAGGTAAAAACAAATGTAAAAAATACAGTTAAATAAAATTAAAAATACCCCCCAAAAAATGTAAAGTTACCCAACCCTGCGAATGTGAGTATACTATCGAAAACACAAGTCAGGTGCACCTACGTAGAAAAATGATGATTGCGCTGTTTCTGCTCCGGAATGTGCGTTGTGGTGCCATTAATTTCAATGGCATCCCAAACATGCCTCCTAGCCACAGTGTGCTCATCTACACTGGAACGTGCGGTACTACAATGCCATGCATTCCAGTGTGGTGCAAGTGCAAAAAAAAATAAAAGATGGCATTTTTTAATCTGATTAACTGATTAATCTAAAAAATAATCGGCCAACTAATCGATAATGAAAATAATTGTTTGTTGCAGCCCGAAAATAAAGATCACCTGTGTGCAATCTAAGTGTCACATGATCTCAATATATATACACCTGTTCTGAAAGGCCACAAACTCTGCAACACTACTGAGCAAGAGATACCACCAAGCAAGCGGAACCATGAAGACCAAGGATAACAGGTCAGGGATAAAATTGTGTAAAAGTACAAATCTATGGTTGGGTCATAAAAAATATCTGAAACTTTAAAAATTCCACAGAGCGCCAATTAATCCATTAGTAAAAAATGGAATGAATATGGAACCACAACAAACCTGCCAAGAGAGGACCTGCCCACCAAAACTCATGGACCAGGCAAGGGATGTTTTTCATTGGCAGGGACTGGGAAACTGGTCAGAAATGAAGGAATGATGGATGGCGCTAAATACAGGGAAATTCTTGAGGGAAACCTGTTTCAGCCTGCCAGAGATTTTCGGCTGGGATGGAGGTTCACCTTCCAGCAGGACAATGACCCTAAGCATACTGCTAAAGCAACACTTCAGTGGTTTAAAGGCAAACATTTAAATGTCTTGGAGTTGCCTAGTCAAAGCCGAGACCTCCATCTAATTGAGAATCTGTGACACGACTTAAAGATTGCTGTACACCAGCGATAACCATCCAACTTAAAGGAGCTGGAGAAGTTTTGCCTTGAAGAATGGGCAAAAATCCCAGTGGCTAGATGTGCTTACTGTATTTAGACATACCCCAAGAGACTTGCAGCTGTAACTGTTGCAAAAGGTGGCTCTATAAAGTAATGACCTTGAGTTGGGGGGGGATGTGAATAGTTATACACACTCAAGTTTTCTGTTTCTCTGTCTTATTTCTGGTTTGTATCACAATAAAAATACTTTTTATCTTCAAAGTGGTAGGCATGTTGTCTAAATCAAATGATACAAACCCCCAAAAATTCCATGTGGAAATGCAATAAAATAGTAAAAATGCCCAGGGGGTGAATACTTTTGCAAGCCATTATTTGCCAGTAGTAGAAACTTTTATATCATACTCTAAGCTTGGCACAGAAACAATCACAAACAAGCAGCCAAAAATCCTCCCTCAATTGGCAAACAGAGCTAAAAACGCAACCAAGATACATAATGTAACTCATCTAAACACCCAATCTTCAGTTGACCACAGAGATTCATGAGATCATCTATGCCATTAAAGTAAAGCTCCAACAAAAAACTTTCTTATTAGTTTTTGAAAGAGTGGGGTGGTTTTTATTGCTGACTCCATTCCCATCGAGGATTTTCTTCAGATCCTGCCTCATTCAAACAGGTGACCCAACTGGAAGATTTGACCTGTATCTGGATTTCACCTGATTTTAGGTCATGATGACAATGGTAAACAGTAAAAATTATATGAGAGGACCTTCCCAATGGAGGCACAGGGGACAATTCACTAACATTTATCACATGCGTGTCATCTGACCCTTATTCTGCAAATAACGATGCAATAAAAGCCAATTAATTAATAAACAAAGATTGCGTTTGCATAAAATTTTCAGTTAAGCATATTTTGGAGATAAACAGCACTTGCTAAATGCTAAAGTTATTTAAAGTCAATCCACACAAAAAAAATGTATCACATGGTATAGGCACTCTATATTTTAGGAATGTACAAAATAACAATGAGGGGAACTCTGTGTTTGCCAGTGAGTGAAAAGAAATCAATATATTGACAGAGACGGAATGCAATGCTTTTATCTCAGGAATGCAGCCATGGAAATAGCTAAATATTCCTTAACCAAATAATCTTACACTGTAAAATAATCTACAAACAGTTAATGACATGAGAGTTAGAGGTGTAGCTTCACAAACTGTCAAAATTCTTGTCTGAGACATTAACACAGACTGTTCTCTTACATCATCCCAGCTGCTGTCTACTTCAAGAGGAGGAGCCGCCTGCTTCAGCATGCTTTTAAATGCAGCTTCCTTCCTTCGAAACTTGCGAGCTTCCTCCTTTCCTCGCTCACGCTCCCGAGCTTCGGCTTTCTCCAGCAACTAGGCCAAATTAAACAGGGTTATGAGTCCTGCCCGCACGCTGTAATTTCTGACTCTTCTAATACTTTCCACACTTGGCAGATGCACGGAATCACTTACGCTATTAAATGTTAGCTTAATGTTTCCTGCATCAAGTGTGGCCGCTCGCTTGTCAAAACTGATAATGTGAGCAAAGTCTTCAAATGTAGTGTTCACTTCTACACTGAAGTTACGGTCCTAAAAGAAAAGGACAGACAGAATTCTGTGTGAGCTTTAAAAACATTCCCATTTAGCAGATCAATAAAGACCAGTTAAGGTCCAAAATGTAGCGTTTCTTTAAGATGACTTGCTTTATTTTATTCATGAAGATAAAATCAGATAATTTTCAGCTGCTAAATACATGTCTATTGTGTGGGTTACTTTTGAATCAGATGCACTGGGAGAGATGGCTGTTACAGCTCATAGTGAGTCAAGCAGACAATTCTCTCTATACACAAGATTTACCTATGTGCATTAAACACCTATGGGAAACGGCAAAATCTGAAACTTTACTAGGTTGCTCAATAAAAACCTACCCTTAAGGAAGAATTCAGGGAATGCCACTGCTATTTGCTTGTAAAAAAAGCAATTTTTTATTAGAATGCTTTTTTTTCTACTCTGGTTTTGAAGATTATATGCTGTTTCTAAGAAAAGCTCCAAGATCTTTTGTTAGCTGATGATAACTCTTTTGGATCATTCTATTAGGAATTAACTTGGATGGACTGATAAATCACAAACGTGATGAGTGTTTTTTTTAATCTTTTCAGTAATGATAACCTTCATACCTTCTCACTACAAGTTTTCTTTAATATTTTATAAAATCACATCATAAAGAGAGAAAAATACTTGCTAATACACTCTGGTTCCACTTTAATTTAAACTGCACTGGTAATGGAGAATCTGAGGGAAATTTAGCACATCTAATCCTATCCTGGGTGACTGTGGTGTCATAAAGATCTGATGTTAGGGGCAGGGCCCTATCTTGTCTTGAATTGTATTCTGATTTTAATATCTTCCTTATATTGTAAAGCGCTGCGCAAACTGTTGGCACTATATAAATCCTGTACTATAATAATAATAACAATAATAATAATAATAATAATAATAATGTTTGTAACCTATAAACTGCCTTTATCCAAACCTGACAAAAAGGTTTAGGAAAATGTGAGTTTTAAAGCGACCGGTTATCTTGAAAGAGCAACCCCCCTATTTATACAAAAAAAAAAGAACCTCTCAATAAAGAATCAATGGAGCTGCCATTGATGATTTGTTTTTAAAAGCTCATTCTCTGGGACTGTCATTCTTTCCCATGCTTGAATAATTTCTGGACCCTGCTTGTTCAGGAACAGCACCTTGGCTAAGCTGGCCACACATGTTACAGCCTGAACATACAATCAGATTTTACATTTACCAATAACTCTGCAGTGTGAAAACCAACATGAATGGGTTCTTTGGTAGGCCCCCTACACTGCATAGTTGATTGCAAACTTTTAGGAGTTTATACAGGGATTGTACAATGGGATTGTAATGTGTGCAGTTAGCTTCAGTGAGTTACTGTTCCTGAACAAGCAGTGGTCTGCACCTGATAAGTTTGTGCTTGTTCCAGGTCACTGAATTACCAGTTAGTGAAGCTGGGATAAGGATCACAGTTTGCACTTTAAAGTGGAACTAAACTCAAGAAGTGAAGATTTCCTGATGTGTGAACATCTAGAAATGTTCATTGTGCCTTAGCATTACATATGATACTGGGTTTGTTTCACTCCTGGAGATAGCAAGCTCTTTGAGTTTACCCTTATTATTTTGTTTTTGACGGGTTCGTCTACCCCACCTGTAACCAAAAAACTTGTAGCATAAAAGAAAAACTGTGTGCGAACTGTCTTACAGATGAAGGCAATTCAGGGGTTAACCAATGGTGGGGACAAACCACAGTATTAATTTTATAAAAATAAATTTTACTTTATTTGATCAAAAACTGACATACAAAAATTGCTCTCCTGTCCAGTCTCCTGTCCAGTATTAAAACCGATGATTTAGTCAGACTGACTTCAATATGTTTGTGGTTAACATATTGAAGTGTTAATTTAAACAGACTGCCTCAGCAGTACAGTGTCCCCTGAAATGATTCTAAAATATGTACAAGCTGCTATGCTAAGAAAATACATGACACTGGGCATTCCATTTTAGGGAATAAATAGGAAGTGTATCCAAAGCCAAAACCTACTGTATTTCTTGTAGTTCTGGATAGAGTGGTGTCGGGTTAGAACCCCGGTCAGTTTAATTTTTTTTACTGCTGTCTTTATGCTTGTTAGGGTCTATCACCCTAGTTGTCTATCCTTGTTTCAATGACAAATGTCTAAGAGCGATCTCCCTCTCTTTCTGTTGTGTTTACAGTACAGAAATGTAAGGGGAAATATCCTCAATGGGAATGCCCTCCATCTCTCTCCTGCAAAGCAGACAGGAAAGAACTTACAGGGGAGGAACTGTAGAACAGGGTATGATGATCCATCAGAGCATCCACTGCTTCCACTAAAGGATCCCTGTACCTGGAGACAAACCTGTGTAGATTGTTGTGGAACCTAGGTTCAGCTGCTGCCAGATGAAGAAATATGTCTGCCAATTATCTACACCTGGAATCCACAAGGCTGACAAAGCTGGAGTAACGTTCTACCCACGACAGGATCTGATGTACCTCTCCTGACACTAAGAGACTTCTGGTTTCTCCCTGATAGTTGATGCACACCCCCACTGAGGAGTTGTTCAACTGAATCTAGATCAGATGACCCTCCGGCAGGATGGTTCAATGCTGCAGAGACAGCCAAATCACCAATGCTCCAGGATGTTGATCAGGAGACAAGACTTCTGAGATGACCAAGTCATCTGCACCAACAGGGAGCTCACGTCTCCTCCCAAGTCCAATGGGTTGGCATTTGTAGTGAGGATCCTACAAAAGATGAGAAGGAAGACTTTCCCTGACTCCAGAGCCACAAGCGAGAGACAACTGGTAGTGTAGAACCTCATGGCAAAGCATAGGAATCTTTGATGCCCTGGAAAGATGGGGACAGGCAGGTAAGCATGCTTGAAGTCCACAGCAGCCAGAAAGTCTCCCTGGTGAAGGGAGGTAAAGAGAGATTTGGTGGATTCCATGCTAAATTTCTGGACCCGAATGAACACATTCAGAGATTTGAGATCCATGATGGGGCAGGTGCCCCCTTTGGGTTTGGGAACGAAAACCTGTGAAATCACTTTCTCACAGTAACTGGGGCAAAGAAACCTTGATCCTGTCTAGGGGTTCATGTCTAGAATCAGACAAGGTGTGACAACATGACAGTAAGACAACGTATGAACTCAGGGTAAGAGGTAAGGCCTGCAAGACAGCTAGTAGCAGGAGAGGGTCAGTTGGCCAGGGGTGACCAAAGTTACAGTAGGTGGGCAGCAGGAACATACTGAAGTTCCACATCACCTTTGCGCATGCACAACACTTGCGTTTACCAGGACAGAGTCTGGAAAGCTCCCTGAGCAGAACCCCGTTGTTGAAGGAAACATTTAGGCTATCCCATTAACATTCAGTCCAGCAAGGTCTAGATGGAGTACTACCTAGCCAAATAGCTACAATCGAAGAAGCAAAGCTGCACAAGTGAGAGCAGTCTTGATTTATTTTATAAAAATAATAAAACACTAAAAAAGGGCTAGTAAAAATATATATTAGTCTTTAACTAATGGAAACGGATGTCCATCCTTCTAGGACAATGGCAAAAAGAGTAAGGCAAGCTGATAGTTTCGTTTTGGCCTTATACATACTTTAAGGCTACCATTTACTGTGAGGGTGTATTGTACTGAGTTCAAATGAAGGGGCAGTACAGTACCATACTGGAAAATCAATTAGCCTTCTCCATGAATATCAATATAAGAGGGTTGGTAAACACAACTGAAATCATGTTTACATTTCATGAAACAATGCTGACACACTTTGGAAATATAAGGAGAGAAGTTAGAACAAAACTTTAGCTTACCTTCAAAATATCTTTAATGATCTTTTTTTCATCATGGAATCGAGCCTTCAGATCTTCCACATAAAACTTGAACAGATCGAGAGGGGTAGAGCCTGGACATATTGAGAGAATGGAGAGGTCAGAATGATAATGACAAAATAATAAAAATACAATAACATAAAAATGCAATAACAGAGCACTGGAGTTAAAATGAATGGCTTTTATCTATCAAATGTATAATTCTGCTCATTCACACATCCCTGTCAGTCGGTATAGGCAGCAAGCCTATACCGACTGTTTACTATTGCCAACTAAAAATGCTGATAAGGTATGTATAAACGTGTACAGCAGATTCACCTGTCTGTCCTAGCATGTTAGCAAAACGTGAGTCAGTGCTGACAAAAGGGTAGAGTTCCATCCACGTTGACATGGAGTGCAGCTGACCAGTCTCATGAAGCTCATCAAGAAACACCTAGAAGACAGAATGCACAAACTACATCTGTAGCAAGGATGACATTATACAAAAGGCTTTCTTTTTTTTCACTAATACAGATAAACAGCTGCTGGTAAAGTTATAGTGTTTTCTATCCTCAAATTAAACCGGTCACAAAACTCAGAAATGTATGCATGGTAAAAAATAATATTACACGCCCCACTCCTCCAGACTGGTCTTGTTTTATAAGGGCTTCCTCAATGACCAATAGGCTCTGGCACTGGAATGAGGAGAAACTAAGCTCATCTATTACAGGCAAGCATTTGCTTAGCTGTCTATATCACTGGATCTATTGATTGTTTTGACATCGAATTATCACTGAAGGGAACCTCGACTTATGTTCTTTTCATTATATACTCAATTTGGGTTTCCCGGGTTTGCAACAGATTTTAAAAAAACTGTTAGTTAGCAATCTGCTTTAAAAGGATTTTACGAGAGCTGGTATATTAATACTTCGCGTTTACCGATTGCAGCCAGCAGGAAGAAATCTTTACTCTTTTGTCTTTTCTAGTAATTTACTTGCTCTCGAGTAATTTGATCCCCTGCTATTAGCTATATTCAAAGCAACCATCCAGCTGAATGGTCAGAAGAGGGACATTCTCCCCTCCCTACCTATATCTGTAGTTCATACACTTCTGTCTGGAGCATCAGATAGAGAGAGACCAACATGGCCCTGGGCAAATTGTGTGCTTTACAACAGCTCATCAACACCCTGTCCATTCAAAACTTCCAACAACACAGCCTGACAAAATCTCAAAAAGAGGAAATAATATTAAGGCTGGGTTCACACCTGGGCGTACTATAGGCGCGTTTTTCAGCTCGTTTTTTAGCACGTTTTTTGTTAAGTGAAACGCGTGTTTTTATACCGCCCTGGTGGTATGATTTTGTTTTCCCTTTATTTTCTCTCTTTTTTTCGGGTTTTCTTTTTTAACTTTCAAACTTCCCGCCGGTTCTGCGGACGGAACCCGGAAGACGGCAGCGGCCGGAGGACACAGCGGGGATTGCGGACAAGGTAAGACTTAAGCTGTATTCTCGAGTGTGGCTCAGGGTTACTGCTTTGTTAACCCCGAGCCACACTCGGGAATAACAATGGAAACGCGCTGAAATATGCCCCAAAGAAGCTCCTGTACTTGTTTGGGGCGTAGGGCGTTTTTCAGAGCGTTTCCACAGGCTGAAATACGCCCAGGTGGGAGCCATGCCCATAGGAAAGTATGGGATTTCACTTGCTGAGCGTTTTCAGCGCTTCGATCAGCGCTGAAAAACGCCCAGGTGTGAACCCAGTCTAAGAATTGTAATTAGCTATTACAGACTGAGCACCCACTGCACAGAAATTAAATCAGACTACAAACCAAGGGACAGTAGACTGGCAGTGGTGTGAACAGGAAGCCCTGAATGATGATGCCCACTTCCTGTTGTGGTGTACTCAGCATTAAGAGACATCCCTCATATCTCAGACTTCATACTCATATAAGAAGACTGGAAAACAAATTCTACCATGAGAAGAGGGGCCAATAGTGAAATAGCTGCACAGTTTATAACAAGTCAGAGGCTGAAAGGGACAGAAGAAACCAGGGATGTGATGATGGCACGCTAAGCCTGACCCTGCAGAGATTTTCCAGCTCACAGAACAACATTCTAAGTGCCAGCAGACCGAGAGTGATTGTCACTGGGGTCAGTTAACTCCACAGTTAACCCTTTAGCCACACAAACAATAGCTGCCACAACGTGTTTTAACAGAAACATGAAACCGTTCATGGCAAATATCGTAATAATTCTGACCTTGAGCAACGAGACCCTCAATGTCCCTCCAGACTGAAATATAACAGGATTTAAAATACATTTCCATTTAATCATATCAGGCGAGAATTCTTTAAGTTCTGGTTCGGAGCATTAGAGATGAAGATTAACAATGTAAAAAAATAATTGTTAATAAATGAAAAAGAAATAGGGTGCATGAAAAATATTTACAGAAAAGTTATTACAAACACACACAACAGCAACATAAAAATAAACAGGATTATACATGAAAGTACCTAACAAGTATGTCTGGTCTATAGTTCTGACACAATCCAAGTCCATTCAGCATCAATCCAATCTGGCTGCATCAGAGTCACTGGCCCTCAGCATTCGTGCATAGTTTAGATGGAAGAATGATACCCTCTAGTCTAGAGGGTGTCACTGAACCCACCCCAACAAATCATAAGGGGAGCGATGTGTGGCATAGGGGACTGGAGGGTATATAATATGCCAGCAGATCCTCCCACGTGGCCAGATTTTTAAATGCATCCACATTTTTATATGACCACATACTCATGTTACACATGTTACAGTCTGATAACCCATTTATTATTGTACTGAACAAGATTACCATTTACAAAAGACTAAATATGATAGGTATTTGATGCAGATTTTCCTTAGAAGAAGAAATGTGTCTTATCCACCTCCTGCAACCCATAATATAGGTGTGTTTAATCTTAAAATGACTAGAAGCCTCTTCTACATTCGGGTGGATGCTCAATATTAACGTAATTTAAAAGAGAACTATGGGGTAAGTGTTTTTCCCCATAGTTCTCTTAAGGGTCACAGGAGGACATATACTAACCTCCTCCCGTGACCTAATGCTCAGTATATCGCGAGCTACAGCTCACGGTATACTGAGACCGCCGCAACCGTGATGTATCCCGACATTACTGTCGAGATCCACCCAGTTGCGTGATATTTAGCTGGCTCTGCCTATCTAGAGGCAGAGCCAGCTGTACCCGACCTTTTGCGTTCGCTCACTTGCCGATCTATTGAGCCGACGTGTGACAGTTTCATTGTCACGCGTCGGCTCGTCATAGTTCGAGCCGATGCGTGACAATGAAACTGTCACACGTTGAGGCTGAGTGATTTTCACTCACCTCATAGTTCTCCTTCAATATCAGAATGTATTAATTTTGTGTAGACTTTGGTTCTGCAGTGAGAAATACATAGACAGTAAAGTGGACTCTGAAGCTATTTATGACACATACTAGGTCAGGCTAGAGTGTATTTCCACCTTCGCAGCCAGATTGGGATAACACCTATTTTATATTTGTAACATGTTTCCAATCACATAGCATAAGCTAAAAAAAAAGGTAAAAATGCTTCTTGCAGTTTAAATTGCTTTTACTTGGGTTTTGTGGCTTTTTAAGGGTTACAATTTATACGTGCTTCTCCTTCTTTGTAATGTTAGGATGGGTTGTGATGGGTGAGGGGTTTGTTAACTCTGTCTGCTGGCCCATTTCCTTATCATTTGTAAAGTAAATTTGATCACTGTCTGTACTAAAAAAGGGTTAGAGGATTACAAATCTGGCTTCTGCAATGTATGTTAATAAAGTTAATGAGAGAAACACAATCCACAAATTTCAGTCCTAAGTCTTTCTACAAGGCATAGCTCTGGTTTCAGCCATATTGCCTGCTGCAACAAAACACCTCAAAGGTAAGAAATTCATTTTCAAAAAATTGTCTTTCATTATGCTGTGTGAATGGGAACACATTAAAAACGCCTAGCAATTTTTCAAATGTCTTTATTAAAAGTCCCTGCTTACTAGTGCCCTGGCATTCTGCTAAGTACTGCTCATAATAGCCATTACTTATTTACGATCCACTAATTCACAAACAATGCAGAAACCAAAAATGTATATGCATGAAATCAATAGATCAGTGGATATTAACAATGATTAAATATTTAGTGATAAGCTTGTATAGTACAATTGACCAACCTACCCAGAGCCCACGAGCTGTAAACAAAACCTTTGAGCTGAGGTTGCCACCAAATACAGTCCAGTGTGCAAGAGAAAGAATTGTGTGCTGCAGCAGCGTGGTTGCATATAGGGCCCTGTCACACCATCAAGAATGCGTTCTGCCTATTTTTTGCAGATTGCACTGGACCGGGAACACAGGCACTGATGGGGGGGGGTTGTGGTGCCATTGAGTTCACTGCACTGCCCCGCCCCCTTCTGCTCCAAAACAAAGTGAGACGGCCGGGTTGCGTTCCAGTGGCCGATCGCACTGGAACGCAACTCTTGATGATGTGACTGGGCCCTTAAAGGACAGATCTGCCTGTGTGTCATAGAGGACATCATTTTCTCCCATCCAGCGCTGTAGAAACCTAGTGCAACCATTAGTGAGCACAGGCATGGGGGCAGTGTTTTTTAAGACATTACCTCTACTTCAAAGGTATCAGCACAATAGGCAAAAGCCAATGTAAAATTGTAAAAACGCAGATCGATTTTTGGCCATTTCAGCAGGAACTATTGTCGGCTGAACAGTGCTTGCTGCCAAACAGCTGTATTATGACAGCGGCATGCACTGATGTCAGAATACAATCTACACAATGGCAGATTTGTTCATTCATGCTGTTAGTGAGGATGGAGGAATCTAGAAGATTTTTTTTCCTTCAGCCTCGTAGGTTGTTTGAAAAAAATCTTTGCGTGTATCCAGCTTTAGAGTCAACTGCTACACATTGTCAGAACATTTATCTCTTCAATACTTTGTAAATCCCAAGCACAGCAATGGTCACTGTACACAGCACTGCCATGCCCCCATCCCCCAAAGCAAATCTGAGAATTGCCATTGCTGTCTTGTAATTAAAGTTGCAAGCTCCAAAACTATCATCTTGTCTTTGTATTACTTAGTAACTCACTGCCCTGGAACAAGTATGCAGCCAATTAAGTGCTGGGACCCCTGAAGTGCATAGCTTCTCCAGCCAGTGATGTATCTGTCTTTCATTTTCTATATACTGTATAATCTATGGCAGTTCAGGTTTATATGATAAAGTTAACAAAAAAAAGAAGCTTACACTTAGGACCATAACGAATAAGGCTCAGAAGAATTATTTAAAAACACACTGATGTGGTGGGTAATTTACTTTTTTCTAAAATAGATGTCAAGACAGTTACATACAGTATGTGTAAGTAAAGAGTGGCACAAAGCTGTATTTTCAGAATCACAATAGCCTGATGTCATAGATATCCATATTGTTCTATACAAATCATCTTAAAGCTTTCCCAGGGAAGCCTATACTGAAAGAAAGATAGGTGATGCCCAGGATGGCCTACTTCAAAAAAAACATTTGCCTGGCTATGTCTGACATCAATATTTTCTTAGGCTGGGTTCACACCTAGGCGTATTACGCATGCACGTCTGTCGCGCGACCGTCACGCGTTTTTTGTACCGCGATCGCGGTAAAAAAATCGCGCGACCGCCGCGCGATTCCGAAGGCTACTTGGCTGTATCCCAATGGAAAACGCCCTCCAAAACGGCCCAAAGAAGTACATGTACTTGTTTGGGCGTCAGCCGTTTTGTAGGGCGTTCAGACGGGCGGAAATACGGAAAGGTGTGAACCATACCCATAGAAAACAATGGGATTTTCATGGTTGTATGTTTTGTAGAGCGTTCATAGAGCGTTGAACGCCCGACAAAACGGAAAGGTGTGAACGGGGCCTTAGTCGCTGACCCAGAATAAGCATGAGAGATGAACAAAGTGAAATCAGAACTCCTGATCTGCACACTTGATCCAGCTGTACAGCAAAAAGCAATAGGGGGGTCAGCATGACAGCCAGGCACCTATCATTTTCAGAAGCAATAAAAGCCATCATAGTCTCTCAGTAGTGGATTACTTTAATTCTTGTGAATACGTTAGTTTTATACACAGTGCCTCTTCTGTAGAGGACACTAATGTAATTGTTCACAAGTAACATCAAGAACCATACTGTGTCTGGCAGATTGGGAGAGGTCCTACAATTAAACTGAGATTAAACTCTGATCTGTAGGCTATCCAAAGGAAATGTTACGTTTGGGAAATGGCTCTGTCACATCCACCCATTCTCTCTTGTCCTTGGATCTGTATGTTGGATCACAGCTGCTTCGGAGTCTTTTGTGGACATGACTGCCCTCTGCTGGATGCACTTAGTACTTTTTATTCTAAGCACTAACCCTTCTTCACAATCAGAACAGCAATATATATTCTTTAAAGCTAAAATATTCGATTATCCAGAGTGTATTCTCCTGGCTTAGGCTCCTTTCAAACGGGTGGTCTGATTGTGTCCCGCTTGAAAAACTGACAAGCGGACCCGTTTGAATGCCTAATGTTAGTCTATGGGTAGCCAGCTCTAAATGGATGGGCGTCAATTTACACCCGATGACCCCCTACTCCGGCCGGGTCAAGAAAAAACAAAAAGATCAGAGATCGGCTTTGTCGGACCTGATCGTGCCGGACTAGGAGTAATCTGATGTAAACGGACACATCCGATCCAGTCTGTTTACATCTGATTCCCCATAGACCAACATGGGATCCAGTCATTTCAGTTTTTTCCTACATTGCAAGATGGAGGAAAAAACTGGAAGGACACAGCCCAGACGCTTGGTACTGCTGTGATCAGACGAGCACCTCTCTAAGATTCAACCTTATTGCATTCATTCTTCCTTAATAAGTTAATAACGGAAACAATGGCACGGCTCCCAGAACAGATATGGTGTAAATGGATTCACATCTTTTGTGAAAATGTATACAGTTGTGTGTATGTATAAGGTGTTAAATGCTATATAATTAATGCAGCTTGTGTTTCTACATCCAAATTTTTTTCTGAATGTCATTCGGAATGTACTTTTGTTGTTAGACCTTAAAATAAAAATAAAAAACACCCTTTGGGTCTGGTAGGAATTTTAGGGGGAACACCAATGCCAAAAAAAAACAAAAAAGGATGGAGTCCCCCGCTAAAATCCCTTACTTGACCCTTTTTCTGAGCAGTAGCCTGGCAGAATGAGCATGTGCCCCCCCCATCCTACTTCATACAAGGCTACGTGCCCTCAACATAGGGAGGGTGCTTTGCCAGGGGGCCCCCATGTTGATGAGGACAAGGGCCTCTTCCCCACAACCCTGGCCCGGTGGTTGTGGGGGTCTGCGTGCAGGGGGGCTTATTGGAATCAGGGTGCCCCCTTTCATAAAGGGGTCGCCCAGATACTGCCCCCCCATGAACAACAAGGAGTGGCTGTTACCCCTACTCATTCACCAAATAAACAGTACAGTAGTAAATAAACATACCACACAAATTCCTTTATTTGAAGAAAAAAAAAACAACACAGTTTTTGACAAGTCCTTTATTAAAAAAAGAAAAAAACTCCAAAAACTGTCCATCGATGTAATCCACAGGTCAATCACGTCGTCCAACAAAGTAGATCCGCATCAATCACAAAAGACGGAGGCCGCCAACTCGCCAAAAGAAAAAATACCTGACACAACCTATCCCGACAAACTCTTGCCGCAAAATGATAGCTCTTATCCGAATGACAACAAAGGGGTGGAGCGAGTCATGACGTCACAACTCACTCCGCCCCTTTGTTGACATTCAGAAGCTCTGCTCCTGAATGCTATTTGGGAGCTCCTGAATACTGTTATAATGACAGCTCTGCTCCTAAATGTCAACAAAGGGGCAGAACAACTCCGACTCGTTCCGCCACTTTGTTGACATTCGGGAGCAGAGCTATCATAATGGTATAGTCTGGTATGAATGGGGGGGGGGGCACGCTTTTTAAAAAAAATTGGTTCTGTGGAAAGTCAAAAGTTAAAAAGGAAAAGGTCACTTATTTTTCTAATGTCACTTTGCTGCAACAAATTTTCGTTCGAAAATATCGCTTTAGGCATCCGCAATTAAAGAAAAATTCATATTCGGACAAATCCAAATACTGAAACAAATTGGCTTTCGGACCCGAATCACGAAAAATACGAAACAAAACAAATTTTTTCCTGGCACACCTCTGGTTTCTATACTGAACTGCAGCTGATGGTCTGATTTCTATGACATCTTTATGTTTCCTGTGGTTTATCTGGAGTAGTTGACTGCATTATTCCTCTGGGAACTATTTAGATGTGAGCACAGCATAAATGCTCATAGTCCACCACCTGCAATTTCAACAGATTTGGACCAAGCAGTCTCATTGCTCAGAAAAATTATTAATTTTCTTCCTAATTGTTCTCCACAATCGCTGCTATTGGAGATTATAGCCAATCTTTGAAAAAACAAATCCATCCAATCATTTTATAAAAACTAGTCAATATTCAATCACTGCCAGGAAGGAAATGATAATCATTCAATCCATGAATTCTGGCCTTTTTATTGCTCCTGTTACAGCCAAATATATTTTCAACATTGTCCAGTTCTGAAATGTAAGATTTTTACCTCGAACATCAGACATTTAACAAGGATTTGGATAGGAAGTACCTGGAAAGATTCTCGATTTTTGCGCTGCTGGCGCCTTTCACGAAGGCGGCTTTTCTCTTTGTCTTCTGCCTCATCTTTCTCCAGAGCTCTAATGTGCTCCTCAAAGCAGATAAGGGCATCTTCTTTATCCATATCTAATGCAAACATAATAAGCAGATAATGTTAATTAAGATTTTATACAGAAAGAATTGGTCTTATGAATTGTGCAGCATTTGCAGTTATTAATATCCATGGATTTGAGTTCGGGGTCTACTGTATGTTCAAGTGTACATCCTTGTGGCAGGATTGTTTAAACCACTATATAGATAATCCTGTATGAATGCTTATAATGTCATGAAAAGACTGTATTTTAGAGGTAACGTACCATGTTTTCAATTATTTTTTTGGTAAAGTGGCTGATGAAAATAATGTTATCAATGTGTGTTAAAAAGTATCTATGCTCAAACACAACAAATAAATGTGTATTTGTGTATTGCATTGCTATCCTACTCCTAATAACCTTATCAATCTAGAAGTTTGTAATCTTTAAGATGCTCATAGGATGTACATCTTCTATGCACTAAAACTATTTCATTCAACCATTTGAATATGCACTTTCTTGTCACAACTCACAGAGCCTGCATTCTGAAACACAACTCAATAAATGAACAATGTAACATTATCATTGCTTGCTGGAAACAATGCATTATGGGCTATCCAGTCTTGAGAAACTGAGTTTGCATAACATCAAGCAGAAGGGAAACCGGGAAGTTGTTGGAAGTGATGGGCAGATAGAAGGCAGCACTCACTATATAAAAGGAATTTTTTCAAGTAAGTTTTGATTGCATTATCAAAAACAACTCTAGTATGTATTCCTATTACAATGCTGATCTTATCAAAGGATAGTACATGCCGTGACTTTAGTACTCATCTTGTTTTAAAAAACCTGTAATTATATAAATAGTTTGTAAATATGTATGTACACGAGGAAGCCTTCACACCTCTTTTAAACCAGTTCTCCTCCCTGTCTTGACTGTCTTCAAAGGAGTGACCTTCTTCCGTTAGATGTAGGTATATTGCTGTGTCTGCCACATAGAATGTTTTAGCACCTCTCTCTGGGCAGGTTAATAACACCTCCTAGCTCCAATTATGCAAATACAATCAACACATGGTTGCCACTAACAGATTATGTGGATTGGAGCAACATTGACCATATTTATTCCCAGATAATTTTTGTACAAGTAATTCTGAATTGAGAAAGCTGTTCGGATGACCAGTGAAATGTCTTCAAGAAAAATACAGTCCAGTTGCCTTGACTTATTTTTTACAGACATACCATGACCCGGATGAGTGAGAACATTAACAGACAATAATAATTATAATATAACATTAAAAATGACTAAGATAAACACTGCAATATATAAATATCTGCTGGAAATTAACTATGTTTTTACCTTAAACAAACCAAAGCTTAGCAATCACTATTTCTCAAGTACAGTTTTATTAAAAACTCAGTATATTTATATATAGTATAAACTCTGTTTAAAGTTTCACACAATGGTTTAATATGGCAGCTGAGTTTTGAAGAAATGCCGGTAGCTGCCAGTATGATAATATAATTGAATAATGTGAGCTTGTCTGATAAAGGCTAGGTTTTTAAAATGTGGGTGTCATTGGCCTGTAGGTATGTCGCTATAAATTTTCACTGACCAAACAATTAATTAATTATACATGCTAACAGAAGTTTGATTTCTCCTGTGATGGGCATTGTGAGAAGATAAGCATACATTTCAAGTTGGTAATGGAGGCCACACAATTTGCTGCCACTGATGATCAATTATCAGGCTGTATCATTTAAAAAATGAAGACACACATAGGGATTTTGTAAAAGAATGTGCTCAAATGCATGAAATACCAGCCAGCCTGTCCAAGACCCCTAGACCTGGATTAGTGAAGTTTTCCCCTTCAAAACTGGTAATGTCTAGCATGCATGAAGGTTTGTAGAAAAGCTGGAGCACTTTTCCCCATAGTAAATAAAGAAACACTTGGGATAAGCTATGGCTCCACAGGAAACAGTCAATGAGTTTTTGTAATAATATGAAACTCCACTCTTGAACTGTTATAATAGTGCAACCTTACCTCTCAGGTTTCTTAATGTGTAATTATTGACTTCTATTCCCTCTCTGTCAGTGAAAGGTTGAATGCCAGGATGAAAGGTCCACCCTGTCTCCTGCCTGAGCTCAATGCTGAAAGCAGACAATCAAAATCTATGATTGAAGACAGGTACTGTGAGGATTTCGTGAGATAAAACCAAAGGATTTGTTAAATGACTATTTTTCTTTAACAGGCCAAAGTTCAGGAAGGGAATAGGTCAGCCTCCATGGGGACCTTACATCCTAACATTTCTGCTCCGAAAGGAAACAATAGAAGTAAATAACAGCACACATACCGTATATATCCCTGAGAGATAAAACTATCAGGACCCAATAGTGGAGCTTTACATTCTTATAAATGCCCATTCCTGACTGGTTCTCCCAACAAGTCAGCAACATCTTAAATTTTTTTATAAACTTAGTAACTATTAAAAATATGTACAAATATTGTGTTTTTTAATGATGTCTCTTGTTCTTTCATTGGTATTAGTGAATCTGTGTGGAAGACTCACTCTGCAGCTCTTCATCCTCTGCAAACATGGGATTATCCATGAGATACTGCTGGGCTTCGGACCACGTGGTTTGGAAGCTGACATTGCTCATATTATCTAAAATATTCTTCAGTGCTTGAACATTGCGTTTCCTTAACTGCTTTGCCTGTTCCTAAAATGATAGGAGAATAGAAGGTTTTACTACATGCTGCAAAAGTAAATCAATATTACCCAAATATTCCCTCCCATTATAGACTACAATCTTAATACATCAGGGCCGTCTTTAAAGCGGGGCAAAATGGGCACTTGCCCGGGGCCCAGTCATTGTTGTGGGGCCCTGTAACCCATAAACGTTTTTGGACCAGCTGTCTAGTCTGCGCTACCGCTTTCTGACGCTAGAGGGCAGCAGCCTCCTCCCCGGTGTCATTATTATGTCCCCCCAGTGTCATTATTATGTCCCCCCAGTGTCATTATTATGTCCCCCCAGTGTCATTATTATATCCCCCTGGTGTCATTATTATTATGTCCCCCCAAGTGTCATTATTATTATTATGCCCCCTGGTGTCATTATTATGTCCCCCCAGTGTCATTATTATTATTATGTCCCCCTGGTGTCATTATTCTTATAATTATGTCCCCCCCAGTGTCATTATTATTATTATTATGTCCCCCCCGGTGTCAATAATAACAATAATGACACTGGGGGACATAATAATAATGACACTGGGGGGACATAATAATAATGACAGCAGGGGACATAATAATAATGACACCAGGAGACATAATAATAATAATGACATCAGGGGACATAATAATAATAATAATATTGACACCAGGGGACATAATAATAATAATATTGACACCGGGGGGACATAATAATAATATTAATGACACTGGGGGGACATAATAATAATATTAATGACACTGGGGGGACAAAATAATAAAGATAATGACTCCAGGGGACATAATAATAATAATAATAATGACTACAGTGGACATAATAATAATGATACCAGGGGACATAATAATGACACACGGGGGACATAATAATAATGACACGGGGGGGGGGGCACATAATAATGACTCCAGATGACATAATAATATTGACACCAGGAGACATAATAATGATAATGTCGCAGGAATACCCCCCCTCCCCTCTCTGATCCTCCAACGCTGACTGGAGGGATGGATGGGGCGGACACAACCTCCAGAGAGGTACATAGAGAGAATACATATTAGTAAACTAAATGTGAGATTGCAGTCCATTACAGGAGTGAGCATGGAGTGGTGGCTACTTTACAACACACACACAGTGACCATTCGGTACAAAAGTAGCCACCCTCCAGAAGGAAGAACAGTGTCAGCACCAATTTAGAGATGATTTGAGGGTCTACAGATGAGTGATACACAAAGAAGATACATTTTTGTTAACAGTTAAGGTACTAGAATGTATTTTTAAGATTTAACTCCTGAGTTTAGTATCACTCTGATATGATCTGTTCCTCCTTAAACACTGTTGTTCACAAAGTGACTAAAATCTTGACATTATAATTTCACTCCTTCACCTGCAATCTGTATATTAATATTGCCCAGCACAATGCTCCTTGACAAGGATAACGTAATAAACGTACTCCCTTTGACAGCCACTAGTCAACACTATGCACGGTTCTCAATTGCAAGTATCACTCAGTGGTTCCCGAACTTGTGATCAATATGTCAGCTAAAACATAATAATCACATGCAGGCTGGAGACTTCATTGATAAAATAAGCCTTCAGCCTGGAGATGGCAGTTGTCACTGTAATTGTCAGATAGAATTACCATTTAAAAATATTTTTAAAAATTAACAAAATAGGAAACGATTTTTTTTGCAAATTTGTCAGCCTATAATAAAAAAAAAACAGATCTGGGTTTTATTAAAACAGTGTATTAAATAAAAGCCTTATATGTTCTTAACCAAAAGGTTAATGTGAACGAATGCGCTGAACTGGGCACATGCTAGCAATATTATTTTTGTTCATCTTTATATTGTTCAGTCTTATTGATTCAACACTTATTTTCAGTGTTTTCTGGGGGACATAAGAGCTTTGAAGTGGCCACACTGGAATACGATTTAACCTCCCTGGCGGTATGATTATTTAGCTTTTCGTTATTTTTTCGGCGCAATTTTTTTTCGGATTTATTTCGTTATTTTATTTTGTCGTTTTTTTCCGGGTTTTTTTATTTTATTTCCCGCCGGTTCCGCCCCCATGCGACGCGTCAGCTCGCAAGGGACGGAACTCGGAAGACAGATGCCGGCGTCGGCCGGAGGACACAGCACGGCTCGAGGGACAAGGTAAGTAAATACTGTGGGATATTCCCGAGTGTAGATCAGGGTATGGAGAAGTAACCCCGAGCTACACTCGGGAATACCGCCAAGGAGGTTAAAGTGGAAGTAAAGTCAGTTAAATAAAAAAAAATGGAGGTATTTTTTGTGCACATTGTACGGTGCATGTGCCTTGCAGTGCACATACTCAGCCCATTCATGGCATCTCTAAGATGCTGTGAATGGGCCAGATGCAATAATGGATGTAATTCCTGTGCGTTAGATCACCAGTGGCCTAGCAACTTGGAAGTGTCAGCGTCGGAGATGACGGCGGGGGACAGAGTGGGACACCAAAGATGGATTTGACAGCACTGGAGAAGGGCACACTTTTAAAGGTAAGTGTGCCCTGATGTGCAAGTATACTGTGCATACTTGCACATTAGAGCACAAACCTACCCAGCTCGCAGTGCTTTTCTTCTGCATTACCATTTTGTTTAAAGTGGACCAGTCAGCACTATTAAACTTTTTAATGTAAAAGTCCTACCTAGTAGCAGGTACCCCAGGGAGCCCGCTATGACTTTCTGAGCCAGGGGTTTTTCACCCTGTTGCAGCAACTTGAACCACTTTATAAGATTTTGTTGCCTTCCTCTGGTTTTTAGGGTTCCTTATCAACTGGGTAAACATGATAGACATTGTTCAACCTATGTAATTTTAGTATATTTTATGAGCAAAATAAGGAACTCTACAAATTAAATGTATAATCATCAGTCAAAACCTTTTCTTTTTTTGCTAGAAAGAAGAGAACATCATCATAAATTTCTTTACGATCTCGCTCTGGAACAACAGACCACACTTCTTGATCACCAAACATCTGTTCAGCTTTCCTGCAAAAACAGAGAACTAAGCCACAAATGAAGCATGTTAAGTTAAAATCATTTTTAATCTATTACATGAAGAAATGTTTTACTAATTAACACATTATCAAGAAGGTTAAAGTACAGGGATCCCATGTGATTATTCAAACAAATTATTAGAGCAATAGATGTACACGGTAAAGCGACATCCAATCAGCTTTGAATTTACTGAAGTTAGATTAATAATAGAGGATTGATGAATTTCTACTGTGGCATATTGCTTTTTGAGCATTGCCATTTCGAATAAGCCTGCTGGTATGCTAAGAAACTTGTATTCAGTATGATAAGAAACTTGTATACCAACTCATTAGCAATATGAGATTTCATCAACAATGGAGGTTTTAAATGACTACCAATCACAATAATTTGTGATCATGTATCAGGTTAGTCATACAGACATGTAAGCTGGTCTAAGCTATCTTTTGACTGCAGAAAAGGATGAATAGTAATTGAGGACCCTGAAAAGTGAGAATAACCTGCTACTCAGGTTAATTAGTTGTGATAGTAAATAAACAGCTAAGTAATGCAAATACCGAACCAGGCATATATACCTGTAGCGAGTGGCTGAGGTCATCTTGTCATGTTGCTCTAGGAAGTGCTGTAGCCTCTCTTTTGCTTCTTTAGCTCTAAGTCTTGCCTCCTCCTTTTCTTCCTTTTCACGCTGTGATTTGTAAGCATTGAATGTCTGCTTCTTCTCGCTCAGCTTGGGTAGTGCACTGTGGTAAAACAAAGTTGAATGCATTGCCCATGAGCACAGTAAAACAGTAGGTAAGAAGTTATAAGGAGTTTACGCATTTCCATCAAACATTTGTAAACCATATTTAGTACCTTCAATAAACCATTACAAGCAGAAATTGTTGTAATCAATTCATGCAGAGCCAATCAGTAAGACGTTTGATCTCCACCCACACTGTTTATGTATCTTTTTAAGGTGCACATGGACCCAAGATGAAAGAATCTCAAGTATTACTGTATGGTCTAACTATAACCAAACTCAAACATGGCTTGTTAAGTAAAATGTGAATGGACAGGTTAGAAAACCTTGTATGAATCCTATGGTTTTTCCCCTTGTAAGCCGTACAGAGGTGTTTACAATGTGCACCCCCTACCCTGCTCTATAAGCAAAACACAACCAATTGTCCGAAGCCAATGGCTTATTTTTTTGAATAATCAGTTCTCCAATATTTTAAGACTAGTATTCAATGAGTATTAAAAGTGCGTTCAACGTAGAAGAAATCAGGAAACCTTGCTCTAAATCCACAGCTTAGTTCGAGGATGCTTGCAGATGCTTGATTAGTGATGGCTGCCATGAGGTTGGGCATTATGTTTTCAAGAAAATTAAGTTCACAATTATGTTCTTTGGTAAAAAGACAAAAGGATTTAGTAAGCTATCAATGTACTAACTGGCTGTCATAATGCCCTCATTTAGAGCCAACAAGACAGTGGGGTTGATTTACTAACCTTTTAAACACACCACGAACGTGTATACACCTCTGTAGTGTGTTCCCTCCCAGCATGATCTATGGGAGGAATCGAAACACCTTTGTAGTGTGTACACACCCAGCAGGTGTGTTGTGCAAAGCCCTGCAATGAATTGCAAGGTAATGTGGTGTAAATTAGCTCTATGTTATGTTGCTTGCGTTGATGAATGCAGGAATGTAAATGCATGAGCTAACCATTTTTGTCTAAACTGTAAAGCAGCATTATATATGCATCATGTGCATGATTTTTCCATATATGGCATTAGTGGAAATATGCTTTTAGAGACTTTTTGGTTGATAAATACGTTTTGCGGTGTGAAAATCACACACACCTGGTG